GTTCCCCTTTAGCCTTAATTCTCAGAGCACGGCTGTAATAAAACTGACCAGAAAATTTGAACCTTGTGAAATGGTGTCCAAGCAGCAGATGAAAGAAGGCCCTAATCCACACTTGCTGAATGACTCCAGGGCAGTTTGAAGTGGTGCAGCACTTTGTGCCACATACTTTTGTGAAGGAACTTAAATGAAAATGTGGGTTGAACTTTCTCCCTCCTTAATAAAATGGATTCCTATTTGGAGAAAAGCAGGAGTTGGGACTTCTTTTTGAACCTTGTCCAGCATACTGGTTTTGGCATGTAGTGCCAAAGGTAGAACTTCACTTTCTCAAGCAATTTTAGCTCCCAAATTTTTTTATGTGGAAGATCAACATTTTGCCTACCAGTTGATGTGATTAGCTTTACAAGAAAATCTTCATAGTTCTCACCACTCAAAACTCCTGAAATCTTGGATTTTGATTCAAAGGGTACCCTTCCAATAAAGCAGCCAGACTAGACCAATTTGGAATTTCCAAATTATTCAATGATCTTAAAAGGTCGTTTGAATCATTGTTGACTGAATCCCACACCGCTGCATACATTCTTCCAAGAAGAAATATAAAATTTTACTGGAAACAACGAAGTTATAGAGGAGGGAAGTTGCTCTCACAAAAAGTCAAGTAGTTACACAAGGACTCTCCAATTAGATTGGATGGAGGACAAGGAGTGGTTACTTAAAGACTTAGATGTAGAACTCCAAGAGAATGACACAAAAACAGTTACATGCCAAATACTTTGCTAGAACTTCTCCACCTCTTGAAAACTTCTCCTATTCCTCTCCAACCACACTTCTCACAAAAGAGACCTAATAGCATTCAGCTCAAGTACCTTGCTTTGTTCTTTGAAACTGTGACCAAGCGAAAGCAGAATTGAACTATCTAATATTCTCGAGGGAATAGCCAAATAGAAACTGGAAGTGGCTAGCAGCAACCCTTAAATAAGTTATATTTAGAGTTTCTAATCATTTTGTCTTAACAGTCATGCCTGATCAAAATTATTTTTTCACATGCTTCATGCCCTCATCCATTACGGTAATATTGTTGTTATGGAGATATGTATTACAACCACACCCTTGACTGATCTTCTACTTGCAGGAGTCGTGTCTCCCCCCTTGTGTTCCTGGACGACAGCAGAAACTGCAGTTCACACTTGGATGTCAAGTGGTCTTGCCCCCCGAGAGTTTTCTAACACTTAGGCTACCGTTTGTGTATGGTGTGCAACTGGAGGATGGAAGTCTGCACCCTCTTAACCCTCTTCAGCATCAACCTGAAGCTACTGCGTGGATAATTGGGGGCACAACATTGCAGATCCTGTCGAAGTCTGGTAGTTTGGATGAGGGATCTCAAACATAAACAAAATTTTTTAACATTGGAACTTGATCTGTATTACCTGCATCTGCGAAGGATTAAGTGATGCACACATATGTTACCAGCTTCATCAAAGTGTTGGTAAGACAGAGTTTTCATGGCAATGAGATTTTTTGTTGTCATATTCTTTTATTTATCCACAGGTTCACGTTCACCCCAAGTATTTATACTTCAATGCTCATTTCCTCCTCAGTGTTCTTGACTTCCTGTTATCTGCATGTACTGCTCCTACATAATTTAGGATTTATCTTAAAGTGACTAGAATTATTTTACTTGACATTAGTTTCATGATTTAAGCTTTCCTGATGTGAGACTTCTCTTGTGATTTTTCACCAACAGTTATCGACTACAGATGTAAAATATGACTTGTCTACCAGGATACTTTTCTTTAGTGATTATCATTCTGATACACCAAATACTCGGTGATGGTGGGCTGCTTTCTTCCAGACTGGACAACCAACCAGAAGATGTTGAGTTATTTTCAGGTATTCCATTCTACAGCTTTTATGTTTATGGTGATTGATAGTTCCTCTTCTCTTCATACTATAACTGGTAGTTAAGTGTTATACAATAGTCAATTTCAACCTGGTAGCGATTGGTTTTCCATGTTACACGAGTGATCGTTGTAATGTCTACTTTCATGTGACAGAACTGAATAATCTTAAAAGATGTTTCTGAAGCTGAGACATTCCCCATTGTTGTGGAAACTCTTCCCAAATATTTCCTTCCGTTCACGAAGCAACATAATTGTGCTGCAGCTGCTCCGACCATGTACTACAAAAACTACCCCACGCTGTGCAATATGCTTGAGAATACCCGACGAAAATTCACCATTTTTTCCCCTCACTGCACAATGTATCTACTGAGTTCAAACTAAACAAAAATGTAGGAATGTATCGTGTTCAAACCAGATGTTCATAAATCATATGAAAATGTTGTCATTTGAATCCTAAAGTTTTCTTAGTAGTCAGTACCCAAGAGCTATTTTGTAATTAAGAGGATGTTTAGCTCGTGGATTTAACATGTTTGAATTTGTGTAGTCTGGAGTTGGTATCTGTACTCTTGTGTAGCTTGAATTTAAATTGTACATTGGAATAATTTATCATTTGGGACGGATAGACTCATAAAATAGTAGCAAGACAAAATGGGATTTTATGGTGGCACAATTAAGATATAGAATTGTCAGTCTCTAAAAAAAATTCACTACATTGATTTGAGGAAATTTTATTCTTTAAGAAGTTGATTATCTTAACGAACTAAATACATCTTGAGGAGGTACATGCATGTAACTCACTCCATTCCCAATGAAACAATATTTGGATGTAGTATCTATCTTTACACTAATCACTACTTAAAATATGACAGTTTTTTTATTTTTAAATGAACAAAAAAGTTCTCTCTTATTATATTTCTCTGCTGTCAAAATTTTAATAGTAGTAAAAAAGAAAGGAATACGATTGGTAAACACTCAAGTATTATTCTTCAAATGGGCTTGTAGTCATCTTCCAGTATAGAGTTGCCCATTAAAACACTTACAATCTCTGTATTGGTTTTAAAGGGTTAAACTGAGAGAGATTAGGATGTGATTAGAACTCAAATCCATGGTTAAGAAGTGCCCCAGTAAGCCAAAGCTTCATATTTGGCAAGTTCATGTCCACCTCACAATCTCTCACCTGCACAAACATTACAATGCCAAAACATCAGAAAATGGGAAGCAACCAAAAATTCCCATCTCAAGAAACATTTTAAAACTTGACATGAAAAAGGTTGGACAATTTTGATCCTCTTTTCATGTCATTTCAATTCAAATCATAAGAAGTTAATCACATTGATTGTAGCAGTGAGGATGAATCTGTCAGAGGCAGAGGCCAAGTTGGAGCTTTGGATATTGAAACTGGTAAGAGATTCAAGAACCTTGTAAAGGGACATGGCTACTCCTTCACCCATCTTGCACACCATCCTCAAATAAAACCCTCTTTCCTCCACTTGAAACACATCCAGCTGAAACCCAAGATTCCAAATTAGCAGCTGAAAAAAACAGAACATCACTACAGAGAACAGAACATGAAATTTCCTAAAAACTTGCCTGAATTATCTTGTTGGGGAGGAACTGGTCAGAGCGTGAAGTTTGAATCTTTCTGTGGCTTTGATCAGTTGGTCGATGGTGTGTTTGTATCTCATTAATGGAGGATTCCAAAACTGATATCTCAGCTTTGAGCTTCTTGGCCTGCATTTGAAGCTCTTTCACATACAACACTGCATCTCCAACAATGGAAGCCTTATCCATCTACATTTTCACAAATTTTCTATCCAATATCAAATCATTGGACAAATTGAATTATGATTCTAAATGTGGGTATTTGCCAATTGCCATACCTTGGTTATATTTGGAACCAATGAGCGTAATGCATAAAGTTTTTCCTTCATTCTTCCCCTCCTCCTTCTTTCAGAAATCAAAGTTCTTGATCTGTCAACTTTTGGCTTCTTTGTTGTTGTTGTGATGGAAGAATTCTCCACAGAAGTATCGTCTTCGTCTTCATCTTCAACTTCTCTCATAATACTGTTGAAACTCTCCAATGAACCGAACAGAGAATTGGGATCAGAATTCATGACAATATTGGAATCTAGCATGTATTCAAGATCAAAGTTGAATGTTGGATTTTCGGGCTCCCCACGAATGAGATTCACGTATTGATCAAAGTTGTCGCCGTGAATGAAATCTTGGAGCTCGAAGTCGTTGATGTTCATCATTAATGGCTTCCCAATTGGCTCCATGTCAAACATTATGGTGTTTGAAGTTTGAAATCTCAAGTTTTGAATGAATGGATTGGATAAAGTGATGATTAATGGGCTTCACTTATAAACAGGGGAAAATGAGGGAATCTTTGTGTGTGAAGTTAAAAATCAAAGGGGGAATCATGACACATGAGAAGCTTAATTAAGGGGAAAAAAAACATAACAATGAATTTTACTGGTTAGATATAACTTAAAAACATGTATAATTTTGATAGTGAAACAAGTTTAGCATATTAAGTGAGGCATGCACTTTTTCAACCAATCATATGAATTCATATTGATTAGTTGATTAGAACTATTTAAATCTAATTAGCTTGTTAGATCTATAATGACATAGGATTACATAGCTACCATCTCTCTCAATCTTCAAAGATAATTAATTAAGTTGTTAACTAAATGTCAACTTAGCTTTGCTCATTTTTGTATCTCTAAATGTTTGGCTATTATTAGTTAACACTATGTCAAAGTTCAAAATTGGGGTCATTTTTGAAGGAGGCAATAACTATATAATTAGTGTTATTTTTTAATGGGGAGGTCTAATCTGGGGAAGGGGCGACCTTTTTTCTTATGGAATAAAATTAATCAAAGTGGATATTTTAAAATACAAGGTGTGCTTGGACATTATAAAGCATGTTTTGGCTAATTGTTTGATCAAGTCTAAATCTATGAAATATTTGTTTGGATAGTATAAGGAAGTGAGTCGTAAAAACCTTGATTCATGTGATATTTGCTTGGTTAATGGATTCATGATTCGGAAAAATGATTTTTTTTAGTACAACAAATATGCAGATGGAGGATTGAACCTCTAAGATACTTAACCTTAAAGTTATGTTTAGTTAATTGTAAAGAAATTCATTAATCTACAATTAACAAATTCGACTCACATATTAGACTTAGGTATTATGATATATGTCTAACTTGTGAGCTAATCTTTTTTCTTAGTATTTTATTTAACGAGATAATCAAGTAGTTTTTCATAGTATTGCATTATTAATAAAGGGGAAAGATTTAAACTAAATACATTAAAAGTATCTCATAGATCTTTAACCTATTTGTCGTTTCTTTAAAAGAATTCTAAACTTTAAAAAAAAAATTCTAAACTTAGTAGACACAAAATTGAAAAGTCGTGATATTATAAACCTCAAAATTCAATCTTGTGTTTAATAGATTTATAAATTTTTAAAAAGTTGTGTTCATAAACTTATTAGACGCTTTTAAAACTTAGAAACTATCATTAAATACAATCTCAAAAGTTTATAAATTAAAATTATAATTATAAACTTAATATAATTCAATTAGTTAAGACTCTGATTATAAAAAGTTGTGGATTCAAATTCTATGCCCACGTTTTGAAAAAATTAACGAGGTAACTTAATCTAATTATGCAAATGAGTTTAAATATTTAAAAATAAATAAATAAATAAAGTTAGGTGGGCCCCATGCCATCTGTCATTTATTAGTTTTGACTTTAGAGAATCTAATGTATTGCCGTCAACTGACATTGATGGATGGTATGGGTTAGGGTTTCATCATCTCATGCATCACTGTGGGCTTATATTTGCCGCCGGCCCATAAATCCATACTATTTTTTTAAATATTAAATTTCTGTCGCAAATGTTAAGAGCGTTGTGTAAGTTTAATTAAATATTGATTAAGTTAATTAATTGTGCTTGGCACACAACTCCCACGTGGAAATAGCCTTTACGGCACATGTCTCCACGTGTCCTATACCCATGCCTCGTCGTCTATTCGCTGAGTCACCACTTTAATTTATTCTTAATCTCTCTCCACCTTCAGCTTAAGTGTGTTTTGTCATTTTGGATTGTTTATTAATTGGGCCGTATACAAGTTCAATCTACAAGGTCCAAATGGGAGCCCAGAGCGGCCCATTTCAGAAGCCTGCTGCTGGGCCCAGTGCATGTCAGCTGTTTGGGATTCACGTGCGCATTCTTCTTCCAGAGGTTGACGAGAATTGGGAAAATCCGCTCGTGGCGTATAACCTCCACAATTGGTATTGGTGCTGTTCCGTTCCGTTGCGTGCTTGAATTTTTGTGGTGTTACCGACAACAAATGCGGCCAATTTTCTCAACGGCCGACCACTTATCCATGAAACCGCTTTTGGTTCCATTTTTATTCTTTTAATCGATAATTTGCTTAAACATATTGTTGAAAATGACTCGTGGAACAAAAATGTGGACCTCTAATTTTTGGAAAAGATTTCTACTGTCATATAATTTAAACGGTTAGACATCACAGAGGAGGAGGGAGAGGTCTTTTTCTCCACTCTTTTAATATGTGGGACAAAAGTTTTAATATTTGTTCCCAACAATTTGCAACACTAATTTAGAATTCGAAAATGAAAAATACA